TGTTCTTCCAACATCCCGCGTGGTTTATCAGCCTATAAACCATAAAAACTTGTAGTCTATTGCTTAAATAGTCTGTGTGCAAGGCGCATAATGCTTTCGGAATATTTTATTAGCATGGCAACCCATATGCATGGATGATCTTCATCCAACTTTTCCTCCTATCCATATAACCTTGCACGCGCATGTGCTTACTGTTACGTTCGCTGTCAGTTCTAGTGTCATTGCAGACCCTAAATGTTTGAGAGAAAGGAATTAACGAAATTTCAAATCAGGATAAAAACTTCAACCATAAATGTTTTAAAGCCTTCTAAACATAAATTATGTTTCTTGTTTAAGAAATATCAGAAAGACATAGATACGAGTTTTGAATCGACAAGTAGTTATTATACTATTCTTGATAATTAAATTTTTAAATTTTTGTGTCAAATACTTACAAAAACAGAGCTTGTTAATTCTAGCCTTTTATCTTATATCTTATAGCTGGTCCTTTGGTATTCTTCTTTGGGAAATGGCCACCATGGGTAAGTTAAGTGAAAAAACAAAAAGTTATTTTTTTTTAATTACATTTCTTCCTGTATTTCCGTGAAAAACAAATTTTTCCTTTGTTACACCTCTAATTTTTCTGATGTAATTTAGGAGGTATACCATATCCTACACTGACCAATTCAGAGCTGTGTAAACTTTTGAAGACTGGTTATCGCATGGAAAGGCCTGATATGTGTTGTGACGAAGTGTAAGTGACTGTTTAAGTTTCGTTGTCGTCCTTTTGAAGTAGGATTGATTAGTGAGATGTAGCCTTTTGACTTACTCATGCCTCTCTCTTTCTATGATAGATATGAATTGATGTGCGAATGCTGGAAGGAAGATCCGTCGACTCGCCCCAGTTTCTCGGGGTTGGTCGACAAACTGGAGGTGATCATGACGAGGGATGTACCATATTTTGACTTGAACAGGCATGATGACTCACGCCCCTACTTCAACGTGCCCGCCTGAAAGCGGATAAGTTAGTGGAAATGAAAGTAACAAAAGGAACCATGGCGCGTAAAATACACCGCAGACTTACTTAGTACTATGTAAAACTTGGAATAAATATTTTTACATGTTGCAACTGAAAATGCCATCGACTATCGATTCTGGAGCCATCCATTTGATTTCACATAAATTGTTCAAATAAATTAAATTAAATTACTTTATCTTACACTGTACTTGATTCTGCTGTGTTAGTTGCATACGCTGTAAACTGAAGAATTAAAGCAATATTGAGGAAGAAGAGACCAGACAACAAGATGGGTACGTTTGAAGTTCTCGGCATCTAAGAGAAAATTTTAGGTGCTTTCGATGGATTTTAAGATTCTGAGTTGTAATTTTAAATGAGAATTTTAAATCCTTCTTGTTAATGTAGCTGTAAATATTTTCATTAAAAAAAGCTCATGAGACCATCAGCTAGAACAGGTCTATAATATAGAATTCTCGGAATACATAACCACGCGTAAATAAAGGTAAGGTAAATAAAGCAAAGCTTTATGCTCACACTAAAAAGGTCTAAAAACAATACCACTTGTAACCTTTGAGGAATAGAACAATGGAATGGAAAGAAAAAACTCAATAAATACTATGAAAACACTTTTTTTACTCATCAATGTGGACTTGACTTTTTTAATACTGGATTGACGGTGAAGTGCATGACATAATCCTCACTTGGACGAATTTTAAGAAACGGAGTCGAGGTCCACGCAAAAAGGAACGAGACCAACAGCTGCCCATCTTGGCTGAGCAAGCTTTGGCAATAAAGGATTTATTATACTAGATAAAGAACAACGCATAACTTTTTGGAACATGCTGACGTATCCATCCATATTTAAAATCTGACCTTTTAGTAATAAAACAAATTCTATGAATAGCGTAATAGAGATTAAAACAAATAGATTATATCAATAGAAAATTTCCCGATAAAGTAATATGCCTGGGAGCCTTTGCATTTTTTCAGAATTAGTCACATGACTATGGGCGTGGCTTGATGACTGAGCATCCCATAATAGCTATTGAAACAATAGAATTGAAAAATGGCCGCCGTATCGCCGAAAAGGTACATGAGATTTATCTCGTTGTAAATGGGCGAAACACGCTTTTCATAGTCATTACGGCTGGCTGACGTTCTAACCTGAAATAAAAATAAGTATATTTATAGTTATTATTAATTTATTTATTTTTCTGTCGTACCTTTTTTTAAAAATTGCTTGCTCATCGTCTGTCTGAGGACCTTCATCATTTTAGCCATTACCCGTAGAGGCTCTAATTCAACATTTAAACAGAAAAGAACTTCACAATCGTCTTTCAGGCATTCAAAACAGGGTATGTGACCTATTGGAGTCTTTTTTTTGTTTTCGCTCGTCTTCCGACCCCCGCGCTGCTTAAGGCTCGCGGCTGCGCATATCGCGCTCTCGACCGCTCACTGGTGTTGCGTTCTTCTTTGCGGTACGTCCCGCCATTTTTGAAAAGTGGTGAAGGCTCTGGGGACAAGTTTGGCTATTCCCCACGAATTTTCGCGCAAAGGAGAGACTGTTCGTAGGCTGGTACTACGGCAAAATTATTCCATGAGTCCACGTTGGATACGGGTGGCACTGAGTTTGGTATACCCTCCTCGGATGTTTATCATTTACACGGAAAAACTGGTTCGTCAAAGGCTTGTGGCAATGGTAATTAAAAATCCCCGATGGAAAGTTGCGTTTGGAAACAACCCCCAATTTACTGAGAAAGGAGGACGAGCTTCACCTGATCATAATTCCAAGAGTTCCAAGATGGTGGTGAAGAATTGCAAATTGTAAGGTCATTTCCATTCGGATAGTTCGGTTAGAAAATTTTGAACACCTTCCAACTCAAATTTTCCGGTCCCTCAAGCTAAAATTGTCCTACCGATCTACTTTTTGACCGAATTTCCGAAATTTTTGGGTACCGGTAAACTCGACAGGATTATGTGGACATTTAAGTGTGATGTAAACGAAGCTACAGTCCAAAAAAGGCGGGAAAATGTGCCACGTCGTTGAGTTGTCAGGAAAATAAGCGCGACAGATAATCTTCTCATAATCATCTCCAAAGTTGTCTACATTTTGAAAAAAACGTGACAAACGACGAAGGGTTTGCGGGAAGATCTGAAGTAGTTTTTGCTGTGATATCCTTTGTTCAAGTTATTACGAAGCAAGTTTACCCGGCTGTCACCATGTCAAGGCTACGGAGTGTTGCTCAAAATCCTGTGAAAATCGATCGAGTTCACTGAAGTATGAGAGGACAAGAAAGGTAACTAACTCATATCTAACTCTCGATTAATCGTTACATTGTAGACTTAGATCACTTCTTTCAGTTCTCATTACTTATCTCTAGAAAGT